TAATCAACACTCAGGGTACTGAGGGAGGCAGACTGCCACAGGTCTGAGGCCAGTAAGGACTGTAATGTAAGAACTTGTCTCAAGCCAGGCAATGGTAGCACATGCCTTTAATCCCAGTGCTCGGGAGGCAGAGGAAAACAGATCTTTTTGAGTTCCAGGCCAGCCTGGTCTACAGAGCGAGTTCCAGGAGGGCCAATGTTACAGGACTGTTACACAGAGAAACCCTATTTTGAAAAACAGAAACAAAAAAGAAAGAAAAAACCTTTCTCAAGAGAAAAAGGCCTACATAACTACTTTGATATACTTCAAAAGGCAGACATCTCTGTATAAATACTCTGCAGTCAGGAGAGCCCGGAATGCAATAGAACAATGGCATTCAATGTATATAGGAAGCTAGAGAAATAGCTTAGTAATTGAGAGAGCCTGGGCTTATGACACCAAGTACCAGAGCTTAATTCTCTCACAACTAATTGTAACTCCAGCTCCAGGGACTCTGATGCTCTCGTCTGGCCTCCCTGAGTACCCAAACACACATGGCATATACTCATAGAACATATAAATAGAAATAAAGCTAAAAAAAAAAAAAAAAAAAGCACTACTGTGTGTGAGCTTGAGCTAGGTAGATGGATCAGTGAATAAAAGCACTTGCTGCCAAGCCTGACATTCTGAGATCGATTCCTGAGAACAACATAGTGGAAATAGAGAACCAACTCCCCAAAGTTGTCCTCTAAGGTCCAAGTGAACTCATTACCATGAGTAAACAAAAACACACACACAAAAAATCAATATAATAAAAAGGTTAATCTGTGTTTTTTCCCCTCCCTCTTCTGGAGATTGATACAGGGTTTCACTGAGATTATAGGCATTTGACAACACACTCAGCTAATTTACATATTTTAAAAACACTGTGCAGTAAGCATGTATGCAGGGTGTAGTGGCAGAGGCAGGAGGATCACTTTGAGTTCAAAGCTACCCTGGTCTGTCTCAAAAAAAATTTTTAAATCAGTACAGTCTCCTGAGCTGGGTCCAGGTTACACAGATGTGTTCTGTAAGTTTCAGAAAACCTTTAAATAACTGGCCCTAGATACAGCAAGAGAACATAACCCCACCCTTCCTCCTTCCTTCCTGTCTTTTCCTTCAGATCCTCATTAACTCCAAAAAGGCAACTAAATGCAAACATTCAGGAGGAGGAAGAGGGGGAGGGGCCACACCATATCTTTAAAGACACATTTCAGGGATATCCAAATTTTGAACTATAAAAATAAGGTGCTCAGTAACAGAATCTGTGTGAACTTGCCTACAAGTCTGTTAAAAATCAAATATCACAATTATCTATGAAAATATTCACAATTTCAGGGAATTCCAGAAGAGAATGCTGAAGATATTTTAACAGACAATTATCAACAACAATCCCAATATATGGCTAGAGAGATGGCTCAATGGTTAACAGCACAGGCTGCTCTTCCAGTGGACAACCCAGGTTCAGTTCCCAGCATCCCCACGTCAGCTCACAATCACCCTTAACTTCAGTTACAGGAGATCTGATGCTATCGTGACCTCCAGAGCACCAGGTACACACATGGTGAATATACATACATGCAGAGCCCTCATACAGATAAAATGAAATGAATCTGAAGCTGGCTGTGGGAACCCACACCTGTGAGGCCAGCCTGGTCTACAAAGCGAGTCCAGGACAGCCAGGGCTACACACAGAAACCCTGTCTCAAAAAAAGGAAGAAAAAACCGGGCTGTGGCGGTGCATGGTTTTAATCCCAGCACTCAGGAGGCAAAAATAGGCAGATCTCTGTGAGTTTGAGGCCAGCCGATCTACAAAGAACTCCAGGACAGCCAGAGCTACACAGAGAAACCCTGTCTCGAAAAACAAAAAATAAATAAACAAATAAATAAACAAAACAAAAAAAAGATACCTATGTAAGGAATATTATATGTGTTATAACAGAATTAACATCACTACTATAGGAATATCACAATTACTGGAAAAATGTTTTACTTGCAGAGTGTGGTGGTGTATACCTTTAATACCAGGAGTTAGAGGCCATCCTGGTCTAAATAATAGGGAGGTTCCAGAATAAGACAGGGCTCCAGAGACCCTGTCTCAAAAAAAAAAAAAAAAAAAAAAGAAGGAAAGAAGAAACGAGATACAGATGTCCTGCCATGAATTTGGGCTGACCTTAGGGATCTGACTGACACTAAAGGCACAAGTTGCTTTTGGTGAGTTAGTATAAAAAGGAGAACAGTTTTAACTAGACTATAAGAAAGGAAGAAGGGAGCTGGGTGGTAGTAGCAGCAGAGGCAGACAAGCCTGAGTTCAGAGGCCAGTCTGGTCTACAAAGTTTCAGGACAGCCAAGGTTATACAAAGAAACCCTGCCTCGAAGAAACAAAAACAAAAACAAACAGAAGGGAAAATATCCATTCAAATTCCTCTTACTCTTTTGATATCATCCTTCTAGTTTTGATGAAATGTGAACTAGGCTAAACATTTCTACTAATGGTTATAGGATGCTCCTCATCTTTTGGGGAACTGTGTACCAATGATGAGACCTATAGGACTTTCTCAAAAAATAAAAAATTAAAAAAAAAAAACTGTAGAAATGCTCACAAAACACTTAATGTCAGTGATTTCTCAAGATCTAAACATTAGATTGCTATCTATTTAGACAATAAAAGTCCACATTTTTAGCCAGGCAATAGCGGCACACAACTTTAATCCTAGCACTCATGAGACAGCTTTAATCCTGGCATTCTGTGCCAGCCTGGTCTACAAGCTTAGTTCCAGGACAGCCAGGAACCACAGAGAAACCTTGTCTCAAAAAAACAAAAACAAAACAAACAAACAAAAGAAAAAGTCCACTTATTTTAAACTGAATATGCAGCAGGACACAGCTGCATACACCTGTAATCCCAGGATTTAGGAAGGTGAAAAGAGCAGGATCACTACCAGCTTAGATACACAGTGAGATCATCTCAAAACAAAGAGAAAAACTGAAATTATTATTTAACTTCATTATTTTAAGCACAAGATAAAAAGCTTCTAAGAGACGCCTCAGAAAATAAAATGTGCACAGGTACTGGACTTAGAACCCAAGCAAGGCATCTTTGTATTCAACACAAGCACTAGCCTACACCCCCAATCTGAGGAAATATCCTCTTAGGAGCCTTCTGAAGACAGAATAGGCTCATGCTTTGCTATTACACAGCAGTATTTGGAGATTCCTGCTCTCACTTATTAGCCTCTTAGAAGCAAAGATTCACTTAACCTTCATCTCTAAATCTTTAACACTTAATACAAAACTTGTTATGAGAACTTATAATCATGTAGTCAATTGGCCTAATGCAGTTCCTAAATCTAGTACCACACTCTCAATTATTTAAAATCCTATCATCAGAGCAATGGTGGTGTATACTTGGGAGGCAGAGGCAGGCGGAGGTTCTCTGAGGCCAGCCTGGTCTATTTAGAAAATTCCAGGAAAACTACGGTTACACAGAGAAACCCTTGTCTTAGAAAACTAAAAAGTAAACAACCCCTAAAATGATAGCAGACATTTTTATTACTTTTTTAAAAACAAAATTCCTAAGAGTAACACTATTTCATACTGTTGCAAATTGTTTTAATGTATAGCTCAATTAAAAAGACTTGATTTGCCAGGTGTGGTCGTGCACATCTTTAATCCCAGCACTCAGGAGTTCCAGGACAGCTAGAGCTACATAGTTAGCACTCTGCCTCAAAAATAAAGAAAGAAAATAAAAAGATTTGCTTCCATTTTTTTTCTGTCATGTTTCAAAACACTTCATTGACCATCCATGGAAGAATGAAAAAATAAATAAATCACACACCAACTAGGTGTGGCAGCATAACTCTGTAAACCCAGCTCCTCTGCAAGGCTGAGGGAGGAGCCGTCCAAGTTCAAAGACATCTTGTGTTACACAGTTAAGTTCAGGACCAACCTGGGCAAAATGGTGTTACTAAGTAAAAGGAGCTATGAGGATTTAGTGGCATAGTGCTTTCCTGGCAAACCCACTTGGGAGGCCCTAGGTCCAAGCCCAGTCATCCCAGTGGGGTGAGTCCAACAGCATAGTGGAGCTTCACAGATCCCCCGAAAAACCACCTGCCACAGAAAAACTCTGTCTCGAAACACCAAAAAAACAAAACAACCTGTGTTCTAAGGTCCTTTTTTTCTTTCTTTCTTCATATCCTTCTTAAATGATGTGAGTTCAAACTGGAGCAAAAACAATCCTAAAACTTAATTTGTAACTCTTTCTCTATGGTGCCCTTTCATCAGGCTAACATGCTTTTTATATAGTTCGTTCCTTTCAAAGGCTGATGAAACTAAGCATTTCCAGCTGATCATTCCTCCCTGGTAACCAAGTACACAACTGTCTGGGAGACATTCATAAAGTTGTTTCTATCCCAAAATAGGAATTAATCCAGATTATTAATAGGTAAATCCACCCCACGACTAACCTACAGTATTGGTAGGCTACAGAGAGAAACCCTGTCTTGAAAAACCAAAAAATAAGGCAGGAGGTGGTGGCACACGCTTTTACTCCCAGCGCTTGGGAGGCAGAGGCAGGCGGATCTTTTTGAGTCCGAGGCCAGCCTGGTCCACAACCTGAGTTTCAGGACAGTTAAGGATACACAGAGAAACCTTTTGGGGAAGGGGGGAGAGAAAAATACATAAAAATTAAAGGTCAAGTACGTTGTGGAGTTGAATGAAAAAAGTTTATTGAAAAATTATAACTAAAGAAGTAAAAGTCAAAAAACGAGACACAACATTTTACTATGAATTGGCAGCTTTCTGCAAATATTCTGCAATTGTACAACACGAATAAAGTTTTTCCTTTCTCCTAAAAAATATTAGTCCAGGGACGCCTGGACGCCGGGGTTTGGTGCTCAAGATACGTCGTTTATATGTATGAAACTGGCTGTCAAAGAACAATAAAAATGTGCTTTTAAAAAAAAAGAAAAGAAAGTACCAACCATCTGCAGGTTAATGCCCAGATGAAATGGCGTGGTGGTGGTACTCTTCACCAGTCTGTTGTTTTCAGGGTTATTCTGAGAGCTCCTACAACTGGAGAGTTGATGGACCAATCCCGAGTAAGAAATGGAAAGTACCGAGAAAAAGAGCCGACCGCTCCGCACCCCCGGACGGAAAAAGAGACTCAGAAGTGAGCAGAGGCGGGCTGGCCCTCCAGACAAACACAACGGAAAGCAGCGTCCTGTGGGTTCCCAGTGACCTCGGACAAGGCTCCCCCGCCGCCCCCCCCCCCAATCTCCGGGACCAAGAACCCAAAGCCGGGTCGAAACCGCTTTTCAGGGCCACCTAGCCTCCCCGTCAGGGATTCCCTCCCGTTACATAACTGGGCCTAGGGCCCTGCTCCTGCCATCCAGCCCTCGGGAGGGAAACGGTCGTTTTCGCTTAGGCGGCTCTCAGGGACCGGAGAGCGAGCCCGGGCCCCCGGCGGACCCGTGAGAAACCCGGGAGCCATCGGGAGAGCCGCGGCGCCGGGCAGCGCGGCGGGGGGCGGGCGCGGAGAGGGCCGCGGGGGGCGGGCGGACCCCGGAGCCCGGCGGCGCCGGGCGGCTCGGCTGGCCGCGGCCAGGCGCTCGGCATCCCTCGCGGACCCCTCCTCACCGGCGGCCCCCTCCCCCTAGCCGCATCCCCTCCCCCGCGCCTCCGGCCCCGGTCCCCGCCGGCGGCCGACGGCCCCGAGCTCCGAGGCCCTGGCCGGGTACCTGGTCAGACATGGTGACGGTGGCTTCACCCGGCGATCTCCGCACCACAGCGGCCTCCGGCAGGCAGAACCTCACTCTGAGGTTTACAAATCCGTCTCTTCCCCACAGCACAACACCGCGGCTGCAGGGACTTCCGCTACGCCTCGCGTCACTTCCGCTCCGCGCAGAGGCGAGTTTGGGAAGACGGGAAAAGGAGGCGGGAAAACGCCTCGGGGAAGGCCGGGGGTCGTCCGGGCTGGAAACTTGTTTGCTTGGAGCAAGAGGACGACTGCAGGGGTTCAGCCGGAGGGAGGACCGGGCCCGCTATCTTAGCCCCAGGGGAAGCTAGCGCTTTGCCTGCAGGCTGTAGGTTTGGAGCCAAATTGACAGGCTGGACTCCTCCCTCTTGGACACCTTGCGCGCTGCTGAGGGCTGAACCAAGACTGTTCTTTTGTCTCCTCCCAGCCCCACCAACCCTCCCTAAATATATTGAGTTACCGCTATAACGTTTCTATTACCTCTTCTTGCTCGCTGCCGCCACACTCATGACCTTGATTAAAAACCACAACGAAAAGACGAGCCTTCAAGACACCTCTCTTTATATTGGGTTTCGTTTGTTTGTTTGAGGTAGGTTCTCGCTAAGAGGCACTGGCTGTTCTAGAACTCCGCTATGTAAACCAGACTGGCCTCGAACTCACAGATCCTGCTGCTTCTGCCTCCCGAGTGCTAGGATTAAAAGGGGGCCTGCATGCCTTAGCTCTAGGACACAGTCTTGATGGCTACAGAAAACTAAAATGTTGCTGAAAGTTTTAAAGTTGTAGGCAGGAACTACCTCCAACCCATGAACTAATTATCTCAGAGAAAGACCTTTGATACAATGACCTTCTGGCACAAACGTTTAGGAGGATTAAGGATATAAGTAAAGGGGAAAACTTGAAAACCCTTCACACTACAAGAAAGTAGTAAAAGAATCTTTTCTTTTATAGAATAGTTAGTAGTGAGGCAACTGGAGATGACACAGCAGTCAAAAAGCACCGGCTGCTCTTCCAAAGGACTCAGGTTTGATTCCCAGCACCCACATACTCATTCAAAACTGCCTGTAACTCCAATCCCAGAAAATCTGGGATGCCTTGTTCTGGCCTCTATAAGCACCATGCCAGGTCTGCATGTGGTTCATAGACATAATGCAGACAAAAACACCCATTCACATAAAAACTTAAAAATTAATAATAACAATAAAATTAGTAATGAAACTAGTAAACATTCACATGCAAAAGGGGAAGGAATTTGAATCCCTCTCTCACTGCATATACAAAAATAAAATGCTTCAAAAGTATTTATGTGGGGCTGGAGGGACGGGTCAGAGGTCAAGAGCACTGTCTGCTCTTCCAGAGGTCCTGAGTTCAATTCCCAGCAACCACATGCTGGCTCACAACCACCTGTAATGAGATCTGTTGCCCTCTTCTGTCATACAGGCATACATGCAGTCCGAATACTGTATACACAATAAATAAATAAATCTTTTTTTTAAAAGTATTTATGTAAGACTGTCTTAGTTAGGGTTTCCATTGCTGCAATGAAACACTATGACCAAAAGGCATATTGGGAAAGAAAGAGATTATTTGGCTTACACTTCCACATTGTAGTTCAATGTTGGAGGACTCAAACAGGTCAGGAACCTGGAGGCAGGAGCTGACGTAGAAGCCACGGAGGAGTGCTGCTTCCTGGCTACCTCTCCATGGCTTGCTCAGCCTGCTTATTTACCTATTTACGGAACCCAGAACCACCAGTCCAGGTATGACCTCACCCACGATGGGCTGGGCTGTCTCTCATTGATCAGTAATTGAGAAAATCAGTAATCTCATGGAGGCATTTCTTCAACTCTAGCTTGACTCTAGCTTGTATCAAATTGACACACAAAACCATCCAGTACATTATATATAACATAATGTATATATACATATATGTCTATTATATTATATATAAATATGTATGTATATAATATGTGTATATCTATTTATGTTTTTTGAGACAGGGTTTCTCTCTATAACAACCTTGGCTATCCTGAAATTCACTTAGTTAACTAGGCTGGCCATGAACTCACAGAGATTCACCTGCCTCTGCCTTCTGAGTGCTGGGATTACAGGGTGTAACCACTACACCTGGTTAGACATTAATATATTTTTAAAGAAGAGGTTACTCTTTGAATATGATCCACAGAGTCGTCTAAGGAGTGATGTCAGGAAAACAATTGGTTATGGTGCTGAGTACTGAGAGATATTAGCTATTAGACATCTGAGCTCTTTTATTCCAGCCTGTGGCACTGGCAGGATGGGTCTTCATCCTGTGTAATGGTCTTCATACTGCCAAACCTTCACAGTCATAGAAGGGACCTGAATGGCAAGATAACCAATACGGAAAGCCTATTTGGACATAGCCCTGAAGGTCCTTTTGGAGGTTCTTCTCATGCAAAGGGGATTTTACTGGACAAACTAGGAGTTGAAGCCAAAGAACCCAATTCTGCCATCAGGAAGTATGTCAGCATCTAGCTAACCAAGACAAGCAAGATAATCTCAGCTTTTGTGTCCAGTGATGGCAGCTAGAATTTCATTGAGGAAAACAATGTTCTGGTTGCTGGCTTTGCTCAAAAAAGTTATGCAGTTGGCAATAGTCCTAGATTCTGCTTTGAGGTTGTTAAAGTAACCAATATGTCTCTTGTGAACCTGTACAAAGGCAAGACCAAGATTTTTAATTTTTTATAAAGGAAACATAGTAACTGTAGTGAGAATTTGGGTTGTTAGTTTTTTTTAACGGTTTGTGAATATGTTTTTGTTTTAATCCCAAGTGTGGGATATGCGGCTTCATCAGATCATCCACAACAGCTGACTGTGATCTGCCTCAAGCTCTAGGAAAGGTGTGACTTTTCCAGATGCAGATAGTTTACATTTGAAATTCTGGGGATTCTTCAGAAAGAACATAAGTGCCAGAGGCCGGGAGAGGGACCACAGGCATTGCAAAGAGGCTGCTGCTGCTGCTGTCATCGCCGTCGCCTTTTCCTGCTCCTGCTTTTGCTGGTTGCTGACTGCATTTGCTGTTGGCTGGATTGCTGGTTGCTTGTTGGAGATATCCTGATGAGGAAGATTAGACATGCCCAATGAACTTGATGCCCCTAATCATCAAGAAGTAGTCTAAAGAGATCTACGCCCCCTTTCCCCTCTATCCTTCTTTATCCCCTACCTAGTGTTGGGGAGTTGGAAGGTACTGGGATGGAGAAGGGTGGTAGGTAAAAGAACCCAATAAAGTAGCCAAAAGCTTGGCCACAAGTAACACGCTTTCATATTCTGAAAGAGAAAGGAAGAAAGAGGTTTGGAAGCCATTAGCATATCAAAGTTAACGAAGTTAAGGTTTACTGAATGCCAATCCTCTTCATGTGACCTGAAACAATCGACTTATAGACAGAAAAGTTTTGTTTGAACTCGGTTTCAAAGGCTCTAGTCCATGATCAAATGCACCCACTGCTTTTGAGCTAAGGCGAGGCAGCACAGCACCATGGACACATGTGGCACCAACCATTTGGCTAAGAAACGTGAAAGAAAAGAAAGGATTGGTTCCACTTTCCTCTTGAAAACTACATTCCCAGTAATTTAAAGATTAACCACAACTCTTAAAGTTTCCATCTCTTTCCAATATTGCCACTATAGAAATTACTACATATGCCTTTGAGAAACATTTAAGACCCAAACTACAGGGCCAGCATAGTAGCACATGCCTTTACCCTTGGCACTCTGGAGGTAGATACAGCCTGGTCCACGCTTAGAATGGCCAAGGCTATACAATGAGACCCTGTCTTAAAATGAAAAGGGGAGAGGAGCCGGGTATGGTGGCCCATGCCTGTAATCCCAGCACTCAGGAGGCAGAGGCGGGCAGATCTCTGTGAGTTCAAGGCCAGCCTTGTCTACAAAGTTAGTTCAGGACAGTCAGGGCTACACAGAGAAACCCTGTCTTGAAAACAAAAAAAGAAAAAAGAGAAGAAAGAAAGAAAGAAAGAAAGAAAGAAAGAAAGAAAGAAAGAAAGAAAAAAGGGGAGTGGAGTGGCAATGGCGAGATAGCTCAGTAGTCGAGAGGTCTTACTGCTGGTGAAAAATAATCAGGTTCAATTCCCAACACCCACATCAGGTGGCTCAGGACCACAGGATCTGAGGATATGGTCCCTTTGACCTCTATCACACCTGCATGTCCATGGTACACATACACGTATACACTTAAATCTGCTTAAAATCCAACCTGCAACATTCACACATTTAATCAATAGCATCCCCTTCTTTTGAGTCTTGTGTATTGTGTACAAACACACACACACACATACACACATGTTGCAGGATATTTGATCACACTGTGAACCCCAAGATTGTGTTGTTTACTGGAAAAACCTGTTTCTAGTTGTGGTGTGGCTCAACCCTAGAACACCCCTTTATTCCAAGAGGTTTCCGCTTGAATATTGTAAACAAGATTAAATAAAGTCAACCATAGGTCAAGAGGCGGAGCAAGCAACCAATTGACAGGGAATGAACACAGGAAAAAACCATTGAGAGTGAGAGGAAGTCCAGATGGGGGGAGGACATGAGAGAGACGGGAAGTAGAAGAGAGGGACATTCAATTTGAGGTTTGTTTTGTTTTGTTTTGTTTTGTTTTGTTTTGTTTTGTTTTGTTTTGTTTTGAGATTGCATTCCTTCTTTTGGGACATCAGCTGAGGAGAAAGGTTAGCTGGTTGCTTTCTCTGCCTCTCTGAGCTAGCAAGCTTTCACCCCAGCATCTGGCTCCTGAATCTTTATTGGTAAAATTGAATGATAGAGATTTTGCTGAAAACAACAAGATATATATATGTATATATATATATATATATATATATATATATATATATATACATATAGATATATAGATTTTGCTGAAAACAACAGGATATATATATGTATATATATCCTGCAAAATAATATTTGGCCTCATTTCATAAGATGAGAAAATGGGGATAAAATTGAACAATGTACACAAGTGATTACATTCTGATTTTAGCCTAGAATATTTTAATTCTTTCTTTTGGTGATTTACAACCATGGAGAGGGCAAAAGAATGGAATTATAAGAGCTTTTCATAGCCTGTGTTGG